AAACAGGTTTTTGAGACGATAAAGCAAAAATCAATGCAGACTCTTGCTTCCCTTGGTTCTTGTTGCCTCGCTTCTCATCATGCATGTGAGGAGAAGAGGGGAGAGTGGGGTAGGTACTGTGTTGTGTGTGTGTGAGTGTGTATTCGTACAGTATGTGTTTGTGTGAGTGTCCGTGTGTGTGTTTACCATGTGTGAGTGTGTGAGTGTAGTTGTGAATGTCTACGTGTATATGTGTGAGTATGCGTGTGTGTGTACCACGCGCATGCTTTTGAGTATATGTGTGATTGTATTTGTGTGTATGTGTGCGTTTATGCAATATGTGTATGTGTGTCTATATGCATCATGTGTATGTGTGTGTGTGTGTATGTGCATGTATATGTGAGTGCGTGCTTGTGTACCATGTGTGCGTGTGTATGTGTGTGCGTGTGTATGTGTGTGTGTGTGTGTGTGTGTGTGGCCGAGTGGACATGAGTGAGGTGTGATTCACTGAGTCTCCGGAGGCGGCCGCAGTGATGCCTCTGCCCCAGCACCTCCTCTGAACAGGGGAGAGAGGCCCATCAACAATAGATTTTAACACATCTGGACATGGATGTGTGAAAACGCTCCACAAGACAGGCACACTATTTATTCACTAAAGGTTAAAGATGTTTATATTTTTAACCCAGTGTGACATTATCGACAATCACTTCCAGTTTTAGCTTCTATACAATATATTGGCAATTGTACAGTAGTTAGACGCACAATAACAACTTGCCATTTTAGTCCGTGATTACTAACCGCAAATGGCTGAAGTGGGTGGTCACTCACGTGTTTGAGTGACACACAATGACACATTTTAGTAGTTATGCATTGTGGTTTCAAGTATATGCCAGATAAACATGCACATTATGTCTTGGCATGTTGTGATTCACCTGGAATGTAAATGGCAACGCATTTCTAACCATATTTTTCTGTCTCATTAAAGCTAGCGTACGTGACCTTAGAATTATTGGTTCATGAAAATACATAATGTTTGTCCCAACAGAAAGAGTCTTATCTATTACTATTATACTGAGAGCTGATTGGCTGAGTGAAGGCTGCCACTCTTTTTTTGTTTCTAAATAAATGTGATATGAAAGAGATGAACTAGCTGTCTGGATTTTGCCATACTTTATTTCTATTGGTTTCAAAGTGAAGTGCTCTAGCTCTAAGGGTATTTGAGGAGATTATAGTCTCTCTCAGTCCCGCACTATTATTCTTAAGATCGTCTCCTGTCTTTTGCCTAATGTTATGCCGGTCCTCTACTGTCTTTCATCTTCTTACATCTTCTTATCAACCCACATGGAAGTTTTTTATGCAATTGTGATATGGACTTTAGATGAGATGGAGAAAGTGTGTGTGGATAGGAAAGGCCGGGGCGTTTCTGCCTCGACTGCTGCCCCCTTCGCCACCTGGCAACGGCTGAAGCGCAAGAAAATGAATGAACGAATCTGGGCTTTGGTGTGTGTTTGAGCTTGTATTTTTGTATTGTGTTCATCTGATGGTATGGGCTCCTCTTCAAATCATGTTAATAATGTTACTGTTTGACATTTCCTGTGTTTTATGTTTTTATGCGGTTAGCTGCTCAAATGAATTGCCCCTGGTGGAATAGATAAAGTAAGAATCTGAATCACGGCAAAAGCAGTCACGGGATTGGACAGAGCACAATATTGGCAGTGAAATAACCAATTATTTTTGTACACATTACATTTTTAATTGGTCTCCCTATAAATACCTTTAGTAAAACAAACTAAATGTGTGGTTCTGATTGCAGATTCAGTTAAAATATTAACATACTCTTATTGTTTCAGGTTTTATTATTGCCAACCTCTGCTTCTTTCACTCAGGGCATCACTCTACACCCGCCCACTGCACGCCCACAGTCCCACCTACTTAACAAACTCCTCACTGCGAGACAAACAGGCAGCTCCTCAGGCGGAATAAAGGCATGGTGTGCAGTGTGCCCACCGTTCTGCCCCTGTTTGAGTCAAACTTATTCAGCATAGTAATTATCACCTCTGTAGGGCTCTCTGCAGACCTATCAGCGGCGGGTCTACGCCCAGAGCTCGGTCCACCTGACAGCCGGCTTCTGCCTTGTACGCACCACTGCCTTTTCTCTCGCTGAACCCACAGAGACCTGGAAATATTGAGAAACTAAAAAAGGTGCACTACTCTTCTTGCAAAATAAATTATCTGCATGGGATTATTTGTTTTTACTTCAATGATTCCTTGGCACTTTGAGCTTCATGAATTGTTCAATACAAACAAACCCGCCTTGGCAAAACAAAACCTGTCAACTCTGACTTTACGGCCTCCTGATGGCTCATGTCAGTCCCCTGCGTGGTAATTTTTAGTATTAAGAGTGAGTGGGTAAAGGGGTGTGTACACATTTCTGAAAGCAAGGACATATTTGGCATACTAAGGACAAGAAGGGTGTCTGCTCAGTGCAGCTGCTCACGAATGTCAGGAGACATTACAGTCAATAGTACTGTACTTAAGCAACAGCATTATTGTCTTTACTGCCTAAGTAGCAGGTAACTGAGTAGTTTTACTCAAGTACTGCATACTTGAAGCACATATATCACGTCAGCTGCGGTTGTAAAGTGTCACACTGTCATTTTGTCTTCCCTACTGTCAGTATGCCCTAGGGCAGCTGTGGCTACAGAAGTTAGTTGTCACCAGTGAATGAAAAATGCCATATGAAGCATCTTTGATTTAAAAAAGCGCCATATGAATTTGTTCACATTATTATAATGTCCAAATGTACGTGCGGGAAGTGGTAAGCAGAAAATTCACTCCTTTTTCTTCACACTTCTTTGACAGCCCCCGCCCCACAGCGTATCTGTTCTGTTCCACTCTGGAGGCTGTTTCTTAACGCTTACGTTTTCACCTGAAACACCGTCTTTATGTAAACAAAAGGCCAAACCGATACACAACTCTAACGTTTTACTGTTGCAGCGTCCTAAAGTAAACAGCACATTCACCTACGACTAGTGTTTTTGCCGCCTCTGCATGACTGGCTGAAAAGGCAGTTGCTCTTGACATTTGTTTTTGAAGTCAAGTCTACGTGTCCAAAATTAGCTCATTGAAAGGTGATATTAAATGCTTAATCTTGATATCTATATTATTCTATTTTACTGATTTGACCAAGATGTATCGAGGCAGAATCTTGCATCACAACCAAACTCTCTGCAGCTTGGATTTTTGTAGAGACAGATGATGAGCTTTTCTTCATGCGGTCATAATCCTCACTTAGTCAAACACATCTTTCTTTGGCAGGATGAGAGGCAATGTGGACCAACTTCCTGTGATTGTTGAGGACAAAGATGAGGCCTTGTGTGTTTGCGAGTGGGTGGCACATCTGGCACCGCAAGCTAATAATCTCCACTCCTGCTGCCTCCTTTTGCATGGCAGTGTCTATTTGTGCCTATGTATTTATGTATGTAGCTTTCAGATGTATGCTGCATGTTCCTACGCACTCTGAAGTTGTGTGTTGAAGATGGAGGAGGTTTCGCTACTTTGAAACTGCCACCATGTCACAAGCACATCCAGAAAAAGGATGGATCATTATTCTTTGTTCTTTGTAATAAATTAGTGGGTTGAGGTGACCAGAGGCAAGGTAATGCAAGGTTAATAATGCAATGTTATTCCCCACTGGCGCAAATAAACAATCTCCTCTGTTTATTTGCCCGCGCTCCACTCCCACGAGAAGCCAGAAACAGCAGGACAGAGGCGTAAAGGAAAGGGGAAAGGGAAGGAGGGGAGGAGTAAGACGGATGACAAATAGATGAGGTTCGATTCCCGCTTTGACACCCACCAACACACCTCTCCCACTGTGTCCTTAGGCTCATAGAAACTCAAGCGAAGTGATGATGTTTATACCCATGAAAATGTCACACGTAAAAATCACCAAATCATCGTGATGTGTGTGACCACATACAGTACCATAGCGGCAATAGATTTCTTTACGAACATATTTTTAGACTGGTGCTATAGGCTTGGGTGGCAGCTCTGATTGCACGTAAAAGCTCAGACCCCCCCTCCACCCAACCCAGAATCGGACTAAAAAATAATTAATATTTTTATTTTACTATTTACTTTTTTTATTGGAATTTAGGACAGTACATGTGTTGACAAACAGCGTCAACATACTGTAAATATGCAGGAATTAGCACATTGTCTAAATTGTATCCACTGTCCTATAAGGTGTATACATATAACGTACGTATATGTATAAGACAAAAAAAACTCAAAAGTGTATTTTTCTGCAGTTTGGGGAAGATTGTTTGTAATGATTACATTCTGTATGTTTGCCCCAAATAACATAATAATAGACAAAGTAATCAGGTGATAAGAGCATAATTGGGCTTCAATCTATATTTTTTGTTACACACTACATTATTCAGTATATATATTTCTGCAGATTTCTATGGAAACTCATCATAGACTGCATTTATGATAATAAAAATGACAATAATAATGAAAATAACAATGACTCACCAGCCTCATTTTCTGCAATGTGGGCAGTTTTTGATTTCAGTTTCTGATTCGAATGAACAGGAGGCATATAAACCAGTGCCCTCTTGAACTGTGAAAAACCAGTCAGTTTGGAATAACTGGATCAAACTTGTTCCACTGCGACCTATTATCCATGTAAACCAAAATCTTTTGCGATTCAGACGGCCGATGCATTTAGGAGCTCAGGGAAAAACCATGCCTATGTTGGAAATGTATGTGCTGCAATTTGTTCATTACATTTAATACAGTTTTTCCTGATGGGAGCGCAGAGATGGGACCAAAACTAGTGAGACCGACTGAGTATATTCTAGTCCATATTCTATGCTTTGTAAACGTAATCATTCTCAAATCCATACATTTCCTGTGTTATTGTGAGGACACTAACAACCCGGTTTAGATCTGATATGATAGTGACTACTGCACACTGCTCTGGTGTGGCTGACGATTACATGATTCTGAAACAAATGATGCCTGTGACACCCACCCGTGGCAGTCCCGCGGTGTCCTTGCTCAGCCTAATGAGGGAAACTCAAACAGGTCGTCCCACATGCTTCTCCAGTCTCTCCCTCTCGGCGGGTCACCTCTCTGCGTCTCCCCTCCCACTCCCCCCTCCCCTCGGGTCAGGGATGGGGGTCCAGGCCTGGTTCTGGGATGAAACCTTCTCAGCCCACTACCTGTCATTCATCACATCCCACAACTGACAGCTGCCGCGTCCCACTCACACTTTCACCTCTGCTTTTCCTGGGGAATACAGGCTGTTGCACTCCAGCACAATCTTGGCAAACAACAGCTCGCCTCTCTGTGCTATATTTTATTTAACACATTGTATCTGTAGGAAAACTATATGGTTCACCTCACTATATGGACGGCATGTAATATTGATGGGGTTTTTGATTACAGATGGAATGGGGTCATGAATATATAGGCAAGGAAGTTTAGACGTAAATGTTCTCTTCTGTCTCGTCACGTACTGTACTGTATATTCATCCACCTGAAGTTGATAAACTAAGTATTGTTTATTTAATGTGATGTGTTGTCTTCAATTATTGAAAGCAAGTACACAAAAGTGGTGGATATTGGGGAGTTTTCTGGGTTTGAATGTAGGAAATACAAAATGCTCAAAAGGCATCTACTGTATGTAAAATTGTGGAAGAGGGCAGCTAAACCTATAGCAGTAACTACGGTAACAGTCAAAAGTCAGACTTTTAAGTAAAGTTCTTATAAAGTTATCTAGAAGTGGTGTTCAAAATGAATACGTATGCATGATGTTGTAGAGTACTTGGTCTCCCATCACAGCACTAATCAAGCTGTGTCTTGCTAAGCTTCTGAATTATGTGGGTATCAGGCTTTCACCTGCAGGTGGCGTCACTTTTAGACATTAGAATATTATGACAGTTTTGTGAATATGATCTGGAAAAAAATTGGATTATCCTTTTGAACAAGTCTTTCCATAATTGCTTAATTTAATTTGTATTAGCACCTGCTCTCTAACTGTAATAGAATTATAGCACATGAAGGAAATCTATTGCAAGAGCCACTTCAACTGAAAAAAAACTAATGACATATTAACATAATTTTACCTCAGTAAAAGAAAACAGCAGAACTATTTCCTTTAAAATCAGACCTTCTTTAGCCCCTTGTTTATAATAGAAACAGACACGTAAAAATCTTGTGAATTTCAAACTCCATCTTCTAAAAATGTGACACCCTCCCACACAAATAGCTGTGAACTTGAGGAATGATATTTGTCACGTTTTATTGCTCAGTGGAAAGCCAACATGCGATGATTTCATCTGTGACACACCGCTGCACCTGCCCAACCTGACCTCAGTGCTCTTCCACCACCTTTTTCTACGAAACACGTTTGTCTTTCGACAAATCCTGCTCTACATGTCCAGCCCACACACACAGATATATACAGCCTGCTTCTCCCCTCCAAATAGAAGCCCTATGCACGCACCTTGTGTCCCCTGTAAACTGAAACCAAGCAGAGAGATGAGTGGGCCAGAGAAGCAGTGTGTGTTGCAGACAGGAAGTGAAGTGGCTAAAAACAGAGCTGTCAGTATAGCTACTAAAAACCCACTACAGGGACCACTAACTAGGTCACACAGGGTCTTTTGGTGTATTCAAAGCAGGTCTCAGCTCCTCTCTATTAAGCTACAAAAGCCGTGCACTTTTAGATACATCCTGTCCACCTTCATGTGCACCAAGGGAATGCTCATTATGCCTGATCTTAGCACCATGATCATTTTTTTAGCATTTCCATTTCCCCAGATAAACACTTATGTTCAACCCTAGGCCTGGCTTTTGTGCTGTGTCTGCATGTCTTAAATGAGGTCAAGGTTTCGTATCGATTGCTTTTAAAAGACTGGCTATGTGCAGTGAAAAGTTGTATTTGAACTAAAGTAACATACTCGTCTGGGAATGAACATCACAACAGAGCAGCAGAGCCTATTATTGGATAGAAGAGAGGCTGCAGGATCATTGCACCAGAGGTTGTTTTAACAAATCTCGTTGGTAGATACGTATTCTTACCAACTTATTCTGAACTATATTTTACTACTAGACAAATCAAGTAGACTTACAAATCATTCACACACACATCAGACATTGTGGATGGAAGTGTCTTGCCGGCACGGTGGCTGAGTGGATAGCACTCTCGCTTCTCAGCAAGAATGTCCTGGGTTCGAATCCTGGTCGGAACAGTGCCTTTCTGAGTGGAGTTTGAATGTTCTCCCCATGTCTGCGTAGGTTTCATCCAGGTGCTCTGGTTTCCCCTACCACTAAAAACATGTACAATAGGTCCATCTCTGTGTGGAGTGAGAGACAAATGCCCAAAAATAACAATTGTAAACCGCTTTGTGGTGGTGTGTGAAAGGCACTATATAAATGAAGATTACTTACTTGCCTAAGGACACAACAGTTTGGCCATGCCACTGTGGCATCAGCGGTCTTCCATCACAGTACTAACCAGGCCCTGCCCTGCTTAGCTTCTGAGGTCTGAAAAGGTAAGACTTCCACATGCAGGTGGTGCCACAATAAACATGACAATGTTGTGACTTGTTGAGGTGAATGTTATATGGATGTGTTTTCTACAGATGCCGACAGACAACGAACATGGGTGGCACGGTGGCTGAGTCGATAGTACTGTCGATTCTCTGCAAGAAGGTCCAGGGTTCGAATCCGGTCGGAACAGGGCCTTTCTGAGTGAGTTCACCCCGTGTCTGCTCTGGTTTCGCTTAACACTAAAAACATGCACTATAGGTCTGAATGAATGAGTGAATAGATGGTGTTGGTTGGGGCTTTGATGTGCCAGTGTGTTCGGCGACTCGCTTCAATCATCACTGTGTGTGGAGAGAATGAAATAACTATTTGAACAATTGTAAAGCACTTTGGGTGACTTTCTGTAAAATGTGCTATATAAATAAACCTTACTATAATCTCTAGCCATTTTATTGGTCATTCTAACCAATAGCAACTTAACAAAGTCGTTTCTTTTTCCGACCAATGTGTAGACTCTGTGAACTAGCTCTTCAAACAGACTGGAAACAAATTCTTATTTTGCACACACAGTCTCATGCGTTGCTATCTTGCAGGAACTCCAGCCACAAGACCCCGTCCCATCTTTTGTGAGCATGAGCATTGTAGTTGTGGTATTCAATATTCTGACTTCTCCCATGAATAATCCTCACCATTCCACTGATTACATTTTCTCCTAAGCATTGCACTTTCATGCCCGTAATGTGACTTGTGACACATAGAAGTTCTTGGCTTTAGATACATTATAATCAAACCAACACCCAAATCCCACACAAGGCCTCAGAGGTCAGCTGCCCACACATGCACGTGATCCAGGCTGCTTTCTTCTGCTTCCGTTCACATCACCGCCCTCCTACATGCCGCTCTTACCTGCACTTTTCTAATTGTCCTCCTCATGTGTTCCTATTCACTCAAACGCCACACACCCACAGACTCCTACCTTGTTGCTAATCCCTTTTCTCGTCTTGAAGATGCCAAGGCAACCACCGTTCCCTGTGACTCTGCTGCTGTGAGTCACTCATTGCATCCACTTTTCAATTGGTTTTTTACCATGCAGACATGTTCTTTTTAACGGTGTAAGTAGCCCGTGTATTAGCATCTTGAAAAGCCTGTAAATTTCGGCGCTCTTCCATTCTGCATCCAGAGTTCAGTTCCGTTTGGGGGGTCATTTCGGGCTGTGCGAGAGATCAAAGTCCATGATGAATACAAGGTGAGTCACCGCTCATGGGCTTGTGCCATAAAGTCTCAGCTATAGACTCCAAACAAAATATGTCATGATTGAAAAGCGATTTATTCCAAACGCCCACATGCATTTTTGAGGTTACTCACCATATATCAGAGCCCTTTACTTAATCAGTAAGATCTTATACGAACAGTCTGTGAGGCGTTGAAATGTGCAGCAGACCAAAGCTTTAGTCAGTTAAGTGTCTCCTTTCACACTCCTGTTTTATGGCTTGATGTCATTTTTGGGTGGTTCAAGAGTCAGTAGTGATTCCATGTGTGTCAGCAGAGCAAGAATCCATGCGGCTGATTGTAAAAGATAATTGCCCCGAATGTAAAACCTCAACTTTTCCTCATGTGTGCACTGAAGGCGCTGAGTGGTCTAAAGCCTTTTCCTTCATTTGCCCTGTGCATGCGGGGCTGTTTCTCCCATCACAATCATAACTCAAGCCCCCATACTTAATAGAAATGTTATATACTTTGTCAAAATGTATGTATATATTTATTCTGTAATATATTCTTAGGTCTCCACCCAGACGCTACACCACCTCTGCTGCGGAGACCTGTCCTGCTCCACCCAACGGCTACTCCACCTCTACTACTGCTTATAAATACTATTGTTAGCTACTTTGTTAGCTAGAATTATGTATTTATTTGTTTTTTTTAGTATGGATGGATGTGTAACTGCTGCTACTGGACACCTGAATTTTTCCTACAGGGATTAATAAAGTAATAATCTATCTATTAATCTAGTCTTTGTGTGTACTGTTTGTTGTCCTTTTTAGAAAATAGAATTTTTAAAGAAAAGTTTATTGTTGATTTGTCTGTGTGGAGAACTCTTTCAAAGTAACCGCAAGAGAACCGCATCCAAAAATTACAGTCAATCACAGCAACAGCCTCAGGATCAGGACTGAAAAACTAGCACTTTTTATTGTACATAATATATCTGTGGGGAGGTAAGGTTGAGGGCTGGGCGTGTTGGATTGTTTTTAACTAAACTGTAAAGCACTTTGTGTTGCATTTTATGTATGAAAAGCACTTTATAAATAAAATTTGATTTGATTTGATTTGGTGATTTGATGTCTTCTTGACCAAACGAAGTGATTCTATCCCAAACATGACATGTAAATTTTAAATTGTGAGAACAATAACTTATCTTATCAGGGGGTGTCTAACCACTCGCTCCCACAGGTTATAATCTCCATATAATCTTTTATTTATTTTTTTGCTCTATTATTTTCCTTATTTTTCTGTATTCTCCTGTTTTGCAAAATTATCTTGATTTTTTTTTAGCCCTTAAATATAAAATAAAACGTAAAAAAAGTCATCTCGAACTTGAGGCGGGACTTTCATTTCCTTGAGAAAACCTGCAACTGAAGTACAGATGATGAGTGAAAAATGTTCCTTTCTTACTTTCTTATTTTTTGTATTTGATGTATTATACTGTGCACTTTGAGCAGCGTTTGTTGTTGTAAATTTGCAATAGAAATAAATTTGACATTGACATTGAATCATCCCTGTACGGCTGAGATCTTAGACAAACTTACAGTCATATCATAAGACAAGGCAAGGCAAGTTTATTTATATAGCACAATTCATACACAAGGCAATTCAAAGTGCTGAGCAAAATAAAATAGCATTAAAATCATAAATAATAACAGAGCATTAAAAAGAAAGATAAAAGTATAAAATCCCTCAGTTGTATGCACAGCTAAACAGCACCGTTTTTAACTTGGTTTTAAACATTGTCAGAGAGGAGGCCTGTCTCACATCTTCAGGAAGATTGTTCCAGATTTTAGCAGCATGAATCTGAAATGCGGCCTCCCCATGTTTAGTTCTGACTCTGGGAAGAACTAAACATGGATAATATATTTTCTACACAGTAAATATGAAAAACTGTTTTATTTGCTTTAACACAGCACATAGCTAAAAGAAACCACTTCATCCACATATTTGTCCACTAAAATTCATAGTCAGAGTCTCCTGCTGTGGCGTCTGGGTGTGCGTCCCCTGATTGGCTCGTGGTCAAAGCTGCTCTATGTCACTCACAGCTGCTCTAGTTTCCTCCTCAGCAGCTCCACAGTGATCCGAGCCGAACCCGTCGTCTGGATTACACGACACTCACCTCTCGCTCTGTCAAGGCCTGGTGATGCCTTTGATGTGGCTCATGGTTTTTGCTTCCTCACGCCAGCCCAGCTCTGATGAAGGATCTAACTTTTTTTTCTCTCCTCAGGCTCCTCCCGATCTCCACTTTCGCCATCACCCTTTGCAGCTTGTTTATTTTACCATTTCACCACTTACTCCCAGCTTCTGTCCAATACCCTGTTCTTATGTGATTATTTTCAGCTCATTAATAACAGATATACCACACATATAGACCTGGAAAATGCCTAACAGATTTCCACAACATTATTCAAGGGGGCATCTTCTCTCTGAAATACATTAAACCATCTGCCATGTTTGTTTTGATTTGTATTGCTAAAAAAAATACAGAATTTTTTCCTTTCCACTGATCTGCCAAAGCTGCCGAGCAAAACAACAGTCATAAAAAACAGTCTGAAACAGTTCACTCATTATTTTTTATATCCAAAAGCAAACTCTGCTGCTGTGACTATTTAATAATTGTGCCTTTCACAGACTAGAGCCATAAAGGGCTTTACCTTTGTCCTCTCACTTCACACAGGTACAGGTAGTGCACTATCTGTGTTGCCCGAGCTGTAGACAGTAAAGCTACTGTTTGTTAACCTTGCCTGCAAGCTGAATTCTCGCGGTATTTGTGAGTTCACAAACACTCGAGAATACATCTTGTACCGCTCCCGCTTACACTTTTCGAGTCGAACCACTGGGTGTGCGAGCCAATCACGCGCCAGTCTGGGGGTTTAGGGCGGGATATCCGGGTTTGACGAAAGCAAGAAGTGCCGGGCCGAAGCAAAACAAACATGGCTACGCAGGAGGACGGACGCGTAGCTGAGGCTATCAAGTCAGTTTTAGCAGAATCTCCAATTTCTTTTTTGAAAGATGAACAGCGAGAGGCGCTTTGTGCATTTCTGGACGGCAACCTTGGTAGGCGGGCACACAGCGTCACTTCGCCCAATCAGCTTGAAGTATTCTGCTGCTTATCCCTCCTTTCCCCGAAAGGATTCTCCGGGAGAAATCCCAGATTGATATCGTGGAGAACGCGTTAGAGTTCTACACAATCATCAATCTGGCTCTTGCCAGGTTAACTGTTTGTGGCCAGGAGCACAAATGTGACATCAACACTCAGTCAGACCACTTCTAATATACGTCTATGATGTGAGAATGGATTCAGATGAATTCAGATGTATTCGAAACATTGGCTCTGAAGTTTGTACTCGCCAGAGAAGGCTGAAAGAGAGGATAGGGGTCATCATCAGGTGTAAAAGCTGAGATTTTTTAAATGGTTAAATAGAACCAGGTCTCTGTAATTCAAGCAGACCAGATTCATAAAAGGCAACATGGGTGAAGCGTCTTGCCTAAGGACACAACAAGAGTTTAGCACTTTACCAGGTCAGCCTCCCCACTGTGGGACTTGGTGTTTCCAGAGGTCTCCCATCACAGTTCGCCTAGCTTCAGAGAACTGCGGGGATCAGGCTTTCACATGTAGCTTATGGCCAGGTCAGATGGCTATAGTTATATCCATCAATATTCTAGCCACATGTTATTTTGGGGTAAAAGGTTACTGCAATTGCACTTGAGCCTACAGATGTGGAAGGGTAAGTGCCTCAGAAGATTGTAAGCTGAGAAACAGCACCAGTGGCCCCATCTAATTTTCGTTTAACCCATTCTCTTGTTCCCTGTGATGTTTTCTCCCCCTCTCCTTCCTCTTCTTGCTCCCTGGGGCTTTCTGCGTGCCTCATACATTCCTTTGCGCTGACTGTCTGTGTTTACATTGACATCCTATGTGCTTTTTTGTTTGGATTGTAGCATCACATAAGATCACCATTTTCCAGAACGCAAAACTATCCAAACATGCGAAGATTAAGAAAAAGTGGAAATGTCTCTGAACGTCTCATCAAGGTTTTTGCATAAGGTCCTGTTTCCACCAACCAAGAAGGGGAGGATCAGTGTTTGACTACTGATGTGCATCCTGCCACAGCATCTACTATTTTAGTGACTCACTAGAGCTTCTGAGGATAATAAACAGACTCTGCACTTTAGTTAAGACTCCAAAGCTCTCGAAAAGTACATACCCAAACCGTTCTGTTGTCTCTTGTTATAAACCAATACGTTTGAATCTCTGATCTGTGTTGGTGAATTGAAAGCTTCCATATTTATACAGGTGATGTGGCCACAAGAGGTAGTAGGCCTTGAATTACACAAAGTGAGTCAAGTATAAATTCAAAGAACAAAAGCTGACACAGAATTTTATAATTGCTAAATAAAAACAGCAACAATGACAGGTTTATCGACATAAACAGTCCTATAGATTCAACATGTAAAAGTAAACTCCTCCAGCTCAGTAATTGTTTGTGTCACACTCACTGTTTTGGGTTTTAAAAAATGTGTGTTTTACCTCTCTGTGATCCTGGGGTTTATATTGTGACACTGCCTCATCCAGATTGACCACCCGCCCCGCACCCTGAGGTCTGAGGGCCAGTTCCAGCTTGTGGTGCCAAAGACCAGACTTAAAACCCGGGGGGGACAGGGCCTTCTCTGTGGCTGGACCAAAGCTTTTAAATGCCCCCAGCTCCCTCATTGGAATGTTTTAAGTCTCGTCTTTTAACAGCGTGTGAGTTTGTGTGGTCGTCTATGTTATTTATTTTACTGTTTTAAAGGTACTGTGTAGTTTTTACTCCCATCTAGCATTAAGATTATATATTGGAATCTACGGTACTACGGTAGCTTCGCGGAACAATATGTGGTCTTTGACAGTGGTCCCCAACTCCCAATTCTAAGTCTATGACAACCATTCAAAAACATGGTGGAGATAAATATTCTTAAAAAGGTCACGTTTGTTCTTGGTTAACTTGTTTCTTTCATTTGAAGCAACTGTAAAAATGACACATAGTACCTTTAAGTGTATCTATGTATGTTGTTTTAATTACCTTTATTTAAAGCTGGCAGACTTGTATTTTCTAATGTGTTACTTTTATCCGTGCAGCACTTTGGAAACGTGTTTTAGAAAATGTGCTATACAAATAAAGGGGATTGCCTTTGTAAATCCAGACGTGAGCCTTATAAGGATTGGCCAATCAGATGCCTTCATTCACAGGGGAAACTCCAGCTTACCCTCGCAGTAATCTTAGAACACATCTGCCCTTGTTACGGCACGAAGCGAAACACCAACGGTTATTAGAGAATGTGGGAAGTTACCAACAGGATATAGAGCGACCGATGAAGAGACAAGACAACATGCTATATCAATAACTTTGACTTCAGGACTGTACAAAAAGTTCAAATATTTACATACGTACATCTGCAATTCATCTTTCCCTCGCAAATGAAAATTACAAAAGTTACTCTAATTTTCAAATAAAGCGACAAAAACAGATTTACCAATTTCTTTTTTTTGTCACAGATTTTAGGCAAAAATGCCACGGACATTAGGCAAAATCGCTCTCCTTCAAGGGGTATAAAGTGTGGGACTCCC